TAGCTTAATGGACTGGACTGGATAAAATTGGACTGGTCCAGTCCAATAGTCCAGTCCAGTTCAGTAACAACCCTGATCGAAAGTAAATATATTTAATAATTAAATATTCCGATATTACCAGAATATCGAATTTTAATACTAATTGCACATAATATATTTACGTATAGAGAACTTCATATGTAAGAAGTAAAACTTAACCATACACATATCTAAAGACAATTTACTAGCAATAAGTAATCAAATTTTTACAAAATTTAGATTGCAAAAACTCCGTAATTCCATCGTAACAACAATATAAGATATGAAAAATTGACATAAATGCAATTTTAAAATTTAAAAATAATGTAACAGAAAATTCATGATAAACTTGTTAAATAGTTATAAATTACAAAATTGGTTGCTTTAATAATAATTCTTTAAGAAATTACATTAATAATGACTTCATTGTAATTAATTAATGAATTAAATGAATAAATCTATAAACTATCTAGTAAGGTAATCTATTACGTTAATCAAGTTGTGTAGTCCTCCCACCACCACTGACACGTTCTTGTCTCTCACGTTCTTGTCTTTCAATATCTTCAATCGACCATACACCCAATTGATCTCGTTCAAATGGCTGAGCCATCGATCTCAAAAATTTTTTTGCTGTTACCAACGCCATATCTGTTGATAAATTTGTACAAGCGTCCGTGATAAATTGGTTTAACCATCTGGGTAATTTGGTACGTTTATCTGCTCTTGCGAATCTCTTATAAGAAGTATTATAAATAAATTGCTTCAATTAAAAGTATGATGCTCACAATTAAAAGAGAATAAAGGTTTATAAAATTACCTTGTCAGAAAATATCATTAGTCCATAATCAGTTTTTCCTCTTAAAACCCTCCCAACGCATTGAGCTGCATGACGCATCGCATCAAATGTTAGAAAATCGCTTTCACGTATTCTATAATTCTCTCTCAAAAACTCGAGGCGTGCCTAAAATAATAATTATTAATTTAAATGATAATGGTGAACCGGACGAACTTACTACTTACCTTCAAAATTCGACTCTCTGTATATTGATATGGTACACCAAACATAATTACAGCACGTCCATAATTATGATCAAAGTCAATGCCTTCCGAAACTTTTCCGCGAGCAACTGATAGTAAGATGGCACCACGGCCATTATCACATGCCTAATATCGAAAAAGAGTAATTAATTATATACTAAATAAGTATTATTTAATTCTGAAATTGTTATTCCTTTGTAAACCTTTCGATAATTCTCTAAAGCCAAACTTGTTTCAGTAGCATCCGGTGTTTCAACAAATATTAGTTTATGCTTCCATGCTTCATTTAATATGCCCTGGATAATATATAAATAAATAAAGAAATAAATAAAATAAAATAAAATAAAATAAACCAATATTCAAATATACAAAAACTTCCACCTCACAATAAGAAAATTTACCATATCATTCCACATAGCTACTATTGACTCCATATATAAATAACTAGGGAAAAATGCAACAATTCCATCAGGTACGATTTTGGAAAATTAAACAAGAATTTGTCCAAAACTGCGAACTACAGCCGGATCATTACGAACTTCAAACTTAGAACTAATAGCTACTTGATCACTACCCCTAGTAATTACCTAGAGCAGTCCAAATAACATAGAAAATTACTCGTAAGTATTTTTAATTGCCAAAAACATGTATATAACGTACATGTCACAAACCAATGGCAGGAAGCAATTCCTTGTCAAAGTCATTGAATAACTTTCTTGAACAGCTGACTTAAAATTTAATATCTTTTGATACATATCAAGTG